TCTTTTATTTGCTGCTAATTTAGATTAGCTACACCATCAATAAAGTTAAGATGTTAAAAATTCTTTCTTAAATAGATTTAAGAAAGCAAGAGCAATATGAACTATATTTGCAGACTCCAAAAAATCTATGTATGGCTTAAAACAATCATCCAAAGTTTAGTTTGATAGCACCATGATGATTACAAGGCATGGGTACTCCAAAATGCAATCTTTACTATACTTTATTTACCAAAATCATCTAAAGGTAAAGACTCTATCCAAATCGTATATGTTTGATAATATCATCTCGCCAAAAATTTAAGCAGAAATATACAAGCTGAAAGGTGTCCTAGCTAAAGAATTAAAAATCAAGGGCCTTTGTTTATTAAAATTTTTCCTAAGTATGAAAATAACATGATCAAGAAAAGGAATATTTATCTCACAATAGAAATACCCTAGACCTACTAAAAGAAACCAATATGCTTAGGTGTAAACTTGAAAATACACCAATGGATCTATTATACAAAGTCGAAACTAAAAAAGATTCAATCTCTATTTTCAAAGGAAGGTATCAACAACTAGTAACCATATCATACTAAACCTAATATTTGCTTATGTTAGTATTCTCAGTCAAATTATGAATAACCTTATAAAGAAGCACCATGCTACTCTATATTGGATGAAAAAGGTACTTTAAAAAAGTATCTGGAAAAAGGGCTTTTGAAAAAAATAAATAAATAAAAGAGAGAGAGCGTGAAAGAGCTAACACAAGCATAGAAATCATTACTGAAAATGCTTCGGTTGGACCTACTAACAGATGCAGTTAAATAAACATGTAGTTATTACTTATCTGTCTTAAAATTTAAAGGGTGTAACCTATCATAGCTTGGAGTAGTGCTAAAGTAAAATTCAAGGCTGTAACCCATAAAATTGGTGACAGATATGTTGCTTAAAGATCTACTTAAGGATTTAAGAATTTCTAATGAAAAGCCCATGATAATGAAGTGTGACAATGAAGCTACTATTAACAATACAAAGAATTTTTCCATCATAATAGAACTAAGCATGTTAAGATTAGTAAAAACTTTATAAAAAATGAAACTGAACAAAGAATAACCATAGTTAATCATACTCCAACAAAACTTTAGATTACAAATATCCTTACTAAAGCTCTTAATCAATCATAATTTTATAACTTTAATTTCAAGCTAAGATTATAAGCATATATTTCCCATCTTGGAAGGAATGTGGAATTCTGAATAAGGGCCCATGCTAGTTACCAGCTACCAGTCCATATCTTGCTATATGCTTGCTCTACCTGGAATTCCTAAAGAAATCCCATGCCACCCACCTAATTCTAGCCCATCACTCCATACCTCCATTCACTCTCGCTGGCTATCTTCCTGTCATATCTTGCCATGACGTGTTGTTCTACAAGTAAGGCCGCAATCTCTCCTACACATGCTGGGTCTCTACTAGCTTGTAAGAGTATGCATTTGCAAAATTAATTACTCGATTTATTGTAAATTGATGTTCTTTCTTCTTCCTCTTTATGGCCTAATTATATTCTAGAAAACTTTGGCTACAAAAAGTGCACCCCTTCTTTCTATTCAGAATAAAAAGAAATAGTAGCAATATTTTCATATTTCTCAACATCTTCAGCAACTACAATGCCAAACCGTTGGTAAAAATGAAACGCAAGAAGACATCATGTCAAACCATGATATAATTACGTTGCATGCAAGTCGCTTAATTAACTAAGCCAAACAGCTCAGATTTAGTACTTTGTAAAATTACAAGTACACTTCGTGAACTATTGGACCAGGCCACAGACAATCAAGCTCAATTCATTTAAAAAAACATAACTTCGCAACGGTCACAAATCCATAGTTCCTTAAATAATTCATTTGTGAAAAGAAATGAATAAAACATGTGTGGCTATCAAATAAAGCATACTGATTAAATGGCCTTACAATCACCTTGTGAAGATGAAAGCACAAATCTCCAATTTCAATGGTAACATCACTTGGGAGGCCAGTAGTGGTAAACCTGCAATAAAATATACATATGATCACAATCACATAGTAATCCGATATTGTGGCATGTTTTAAGAGCTTAATTATGAAAGTTACAAGCAGATGGCTAGACTTTGGTAGTTTCAACATCTATATACAATTATACCATGAAAGAGATAAATATGATCTAAGAACTTTGGGTAAGGGATAATTTTGGAGCAGTTAGAAAATTATTTTGTCAAGGAATTAGGATTCCTTTAAGGGAATTTAGCGCCTCTTTTATATATGTATTTCTTCCATTTTCATGAGTTTTTTTTTTCTCCAAATTAATGAAGATCCTTCAAGATCAGGGAACTTGAAGTAAAGTTGTCCAATATTGTAAATCAGTTTTAAAAAGGATATGAGCTAGCCTTTTGTCTCTTGGATCAACCTTTTCTTTCTTCCTCCTTATATCCAATGGCTTCTGAGAAGGCTAAGATGGATTAGTCTCGTTCACTAAAAGTAGATCAACACCTATAAATAAGGGGGAAATAGATAGACTAGGAAAGCGGGAGAATAGGAAATAAATAAAGGAGGGCGGGAAGAAAAAGGAAGTAATTTGAAGCGGGGCTATTGTAGGAAGGGATGGATTTAGGTAGGGAATCAAATAAGAAAGAGAATCAAATAGGAAATGCAATTAAATTGGAAAGTAGACCATGGTTACTGTATATGCTACAGTAATGCATCTACGGTGCTGCTACAGTACCACAGTCGGTACGCTTCCGCACTAATCTCCCGGGGTTGAGGGAGCTTCAACTTCATCCGTCGAAGTTTTTAGGGAAAAAAAATTTTGGTAAGGTGGCTTGGGTAGGGGCGGATTCTAGGAAATTCTAAGATAGGATTAGAGTTTAGTTAACTCTGATACCAAATGATACCGGATTTAACCCAAAAAATCATAAAAATATAAATATTATTGTTAATTTTCAAAAGGTTACAATAAAAATTTGTTAACACGAGAAATAAATGACAGACACAACAAGATGACTATACCTCTAGATGTGGCGAGACAGCAGGTGAATAGTAGAGAGAGGGAATGGGATTGGTGATGGTAGGCTATTTGGATGTGGGGAAATGAAGGAAGGAAGGAAGGTTAGAAGGGCTTGTCGTTATAAGGGGTAGATAGCAGGTGGTGGAGGTAGATAGCAGGTGGTGGAGGTAGATGTGGGATTTGAGGTGGGTGTTATGTGAGTGGGGATGTTGGTAGCTGCGACAGGAAGGGAGGAGGATATGTGACAGCAAGGAAGGCGGCAAGTGCAAGAGTGATGGTAGAATAGGGAGATAGGGAGCTGATACGACTGGGTAGGTTACCAACCTGTAGCGGGAATGGTCCACACACAAGGGGGTGAGGGAGTAGGGAGGCACAACAGCAGTAGATTTGGGACTATTACGACAAGGAGGGCAAGGAGCAAAACTACTGCTACGGCAGGGTGGAAAGGGAGCGAAACTACTGTTAAGGCAGAGAGTAAAAGAAGGGATCTGCGGAGATCAGAGCAGGAGAACTGTGGGGAGAGCTTGAAGAAGATAATAAGAAGATAAACCACCACTTGGGGAGAGGGCTACAGTCGGAGTACCACCCTATCCGTCTGATACAACTCTCATAAGGGAAAATTGGACGTCGACGGCTGTCCTCACAAATTGAAATTAGAAAATAATATAAGTTGACCCTAACAACACAAACAACATATAAATAGAAGAGAGGTAGGTGGGAAACAAAAATAGGAATGGGGGAATAGTTCCCGTCTAATGAAAAGAGGGAGGAGGCAAGTGGGTTCTGCCCTATCCCTAGCCTCAAGCCCCAACGTCACTCCCTCCTTCGATGCTCGAAATAAGAAAGAGTGGAAGGATAGATGGACCTTTTGCATGAGGGTTGCCTAAGTAGCCAATAGAAGATTCAGTGAACTTGCATTTCAGTGAACTTGCCTTCCTGCTATTAACACACTTCTTCAACGTGCTCACCATTTTCAAAAAGGAGGCAATCATGAAGGAAGTGGAAATGATTTACCTAATGGAGTTGAACAAAAAAATGTAACCATACCAGTGACCCACGACTATTTGTAGAGAAAAAAATGTACATCGAGGACATCTAATCAAGATTATTTCTACAAATTTTATATTTTAAAATCATGAGATTTATTAAAATAGGAATACCACCATTACATCAAACTATTCAGAAATGCAGAGGATGATTTTAACTCATTGTACTCTCATAGAACATGTTATAATGCGATTTCAATACTTCAAAATATTTCTTTGCATTAGAATTCCCATTTTACTCTACTTGGCCACTCACTCACAATTCATATTCAACTAAAAAGAGACAACAAATGAACAAGTACATAGTGAGTAAAAACTTATCATTTCTAGCACAATAAATGCAGACACAACAAGAATGCATAGGAAATACAAGAAAGTTATAACAAGAGTAGAGACTACATTACACACATAACAAGTAAATATTTCCATTGCAAAATAAAGTACAACAAATTTAAATACATCATGAGCGCTTTATATTACTATTACAAACTTTTTCAAGAAAAAAAAAAGAAGATAAAATTTATAATGTCATGGCTCACTTGTCCCATCACCCAAATCATCTTTATAAAAAACATTTAAAACTTAAAAATATGTCGATAAAAATATTGGCGGGTAAGTGCTTGCTCCTCAACAAATATTACACGACAAACTTGCTACTAGACAAAAACTAATTCAACCTCAAGGACTCTATAGCTCTCCAATTGAGGACAATTTCAATCATTAACTCCTGCCAAGATTTTTGATAACCTCTCTCTCTTGGGCAACACATTAGGGTACTCACCCTCTCCAATGCCTCCACCTGTATTGCCTCCATTCTTACTTCTGAAAGAAAGATTCAACTAAAAAAACAATCTCTTGTCGCTAACAACTTGTCTTGTTAGTGACAATCGGAGGATGACTTTAGCTAGCCTATCATGGTCGATAGCTCCTTTACATTTTAAATTTTTTAGTCAACTTTGATGCCTCCACTTTAAAAATAAGCTATGAAGGCCGCCCACTTTCAAGACCCTCTACTAGAGAGGTGAATCACTACGATTGTTTGGCGGTCACTTATTTGAGTCTCCCCAGTGGCCTTAGTGAGTTAACTTCCTCGCCTTCTCTCACTATCACAAGAGCAAATCATTCTCATTGCTAAAGAAAAGAGCATCAAGGTGTTATGCCAAGTCATAAGCCTGAGAACTCCACAACATTCTCATCAGAGCATAGGCAGGGACAACTTTTGCTTGAGACTTATCGTCATCTAAAATTCTAGTCATAAAATGATACTCTATGAATCATTTAGTGGAAAAAAAAAACTAGAAAAAAATATTTTTTTCAAAGTTTGAAAGAAAAAATAACTCGCTATCAAATACAATCCTCTCAACGACAACCAAATCACAATTAGGGTGAATTTCGTCTTTGGAACGACCATAGTGGCCAAGATCGCCTCTAACACAAAAAATCACACAACATCAATATTCAAAGTCCAAATAAGTCTATTCTTGCCCATCTACATTGTCAAAACTCGGAAACTAGCTATTGAGCGAATACCACCTAAGGAGACTCACTAACAATAATTATAATTGAAGTCGTTGTAGATATAGGGTTGACCAACCCGCTCTTCTTACTCACCTCGACGAGTTCCTTCCTAACTACCTTATCTTCTTTCTTCTTTCAGTACTCTCCACTATCTACATTTCCTTAATGTTATCCACTAACGACTCCGTGGAAATGTCAAGCTTATTTGTCAGAATCTTCATTTTCACAGTTGTAGAGCTTAATTGGTAGAAGAAGAAGAAGATGCCAAAGCTCTGTAAACTTCTCTCAACGAAATGAGAACCATTGATAAGAAACCCATAATAACTCCACATAGCAAAATGATCAAATTTACAATAGAATCTTGTATAAACTTTTCTTAAATTATGCTACCTACTTTTCTCGTGTATTATAAATGTCAATTATCGCATTAATTAGTTTTTTACAGAATAACAAAGCAACAATTTCAAATTCAACGTAGAAAAGCATGAAACTAGCCTAGAGAAGAGAGGTAAGAATTTACTCTATTTACATACAAAAGGATCGCATTTTTATCATTTTCTTGTTCATTTTCAAAGTCTTCTTTTAAATAGATAAGAAAATTGGGAAAACATGCACGCTAAGGGAGAAAAAATCTACTCACCTTGACGAAAGGCAAGAAAACACTTGCCAATCCAAGCTCATAACAAAAACATAAGTGAGGTCGAAGAAGACATGATAAGCCAAGCCTAAGAAAAACACCAACTGAGTAACAAGAGGACTCACACAGCAAATTCAAATACTTGCCAAACTTGAGGACTCGTTAGCCAAGATCAAGGCATTGACACAGTAGAAACAAGGTGGGCTCATTAGCCAACTATGGAGATACATCCACTAAGTTTATGAATAACTTGCTCAATTCTACCAAAGGATCCACGGGATCAACTCAACTCAGACAGTCACCCAACCTCAGAGAGCTATTCAACAACTACCACTGAGAAAGCCGATGAATTTCTCAAATTCAATAATTGATTACTAATCTTAAGTTCGAGTCATTTTTTAGGTTATATGCCTCCATGCTTCAAACTATTTTATATTTGCAGTCTATAGCCAATATTATAGCGATCAAACTCAGATCCCTAACCATAATAAGGGAGTTTTGTAGTGGGCTGGAGGCTCCACTTTTTTATTTTATTTTGGCCCCTTGTTTAATATACTATTGTCGATGGCTTATAATGAATTTCCCATTATTCAGTTTTCCTCTCTACCCTTCTCTTAGCCAACTTCTCTTTCCCAAAATATAATCTAACACAAAAATAAAAAGACGATATCACAAACGTGAATCTAACACAAAAATAAAAAGACGATATCACAAACGTGAATCTAACACAAAAATAAAAAGACGATATCACAAACGTGAATCTAACACAAAAATAAAAAGACGATATCACAAACGTGATTTCCAAATGATGTTCCCTCTACAAGGACATTGAAAAAAGTATTTTAAATAAACAAGGGAAAACAAGTGATGCTTCAAAGGATTAGTAAATTGAAAAGCTCTAGCAAATGCTATTTGTAGATATATCTATGACAAGTTCCATCTCCTTTGAAGTAAATGAAAACTTAAGATAGTGAAAAAAAAAAAGAACTTACAAGATTGAAGTTTTAAGATATTCACTTCTAATGAATGCAAAAAAAGATAATAATCAATCAATCTTACTAAAACATGAAGTGATACTTAGAAGTGTTGAGTTTAACTATCTTGAGTATATTGTTATCTAATGAAAAAGGGACATATATCTGAGAACATGACTCTTAAAAATAAAAACAACCAACATGAAAAAAACCTCAAGAGTATTATGTGACTAAAAAATATATTGGAGACCTTAAAATAAAATTTGATAAAACCATAAATAGAAAATGCAATATATAATATATGGATCCAAGTGATAACAAAAAAGTTAAGAACAATCGAGTAAAGAATATCAAAAAAAGTTAAGAACAATCGAGTTAAGAATATCAGAACTAAGAATATCAAGATTTAATTGTGGCGAAAATAAAAAAGGATAAATAAAATTTATTATTTTAGAAGGGCAATGTGAGTATCACCATAGTAGAAAATGTGCTATTTGACCATGTAAAATAGGTGCAGACGATAAACAAATATGATGAGCATAAACAAGTAATGTGGAAAAAGAAAGAGATAAATATAGACTACAAATAAGAAATGTTGTAAGAAAAACTTGAACAAATAGAGCTCACACCTTGTGATTATTAAATGTGAATAAAGGGAGGATTCATGAAGATGACAAAACATTGGGATAATACTAATGATGATGATGGATTGTAGAAGTATAGGACTAATACCACAATCCATTTATGTTAATGATTGTAAGCTTACATGTTGGCTTACATGTTGTCTAAATAAGTATTATGCACTTATTGATCAAATAGGACCTTTTAGAAAAGATTTGTCACACATGCCAGCTCTTTCATAATTCAATTATTGAAGAAGGAATGAATGACAATCATCAAAACTTGTAAGCATAGTCTTGATGTCTAAAATATATTTTGAAGGATACTGCAATGGCATATATGACATAACAAACTGGTTTATATTAAAGAATAACTACTAATGGGCCTGGAAGCTCAGTATTCTCATGGTCTGAGATTAATATAGATATAGATTCTGAGAGAAGCCAAAAATGTTCTCTAAACATCTAAATGTAGCAAGTATTCCCATCCTTAGAGGAAACCAATTTCACTACTCGAGGACAACCCAATGAAAACTGGCCTAAACCAAATTTTGCAATGGCATGCATAACATAGCAAACTGGTTTATATTCAAGAATAACTACTAATGGACAAGAAAGCTCAGCATTGCCAGGGTCTAAGATCAAGATAGATATAGATTCTGTAAGAAGCCAAAAATGTTATCTAAACATCTAAACGGAGAAATTATTCCCATCCTTATAGGAAATCAATTTCACTGCCCAAGGACAACCCAATGAAAACTTGGCCTAAACCAAATTATCAACCTATTTAAAATTTTCTTTCCAATGGCTAATTTCTTAGTCCATGCTTAGAGAGGTGAAAGCATGCCCTATGTGCTTCACCAACATGAAGCATTGCAAACACAATTTTATCCTTCCAGACAATTCATCATTTAAAAGGAAAGCACTTCAATAACACATGAATAAAACAATAACTTCAGGTGTTTAATGTGAGTGATTTTTCTATCTCATGCACTATCCACAAGATCCAAACTTTTTTTTTGTACCTCGATAACACATGCTATAAACTTTCAACCTTCATGATCTTCCCCTACAAAAGAGTAGCAAGTCGGTCTCTTGAATAAATTTCTCTATTTGTCTCTCTGTTTATTTTATTGTAAAAGAGGATAAAGAACCACTCCAGATGCTACAGCATGTCCCATTATACTACAATAATTCAACTGCAACTCCATCTAACTACCATAAATTGTATACTTTTTTTTTTGTAAAGACAAGGGTCAAGCAAGTCTTCCTAAGCAGTAGATGCATATAAATCGGCAAAAGATGCCGATTTATATAAAATGTAAACATTGACGCTGGAAAGTGTAAACAAAGAATGTAAACATATGCATTCTAAAATGTATAAAAAAAGCTCATCTTCAGCAGAAATAATATTTAAACATTGCAGTAGAAGTATTATGACAAAGCACCAGGTAAGTATGGATGGAGTTTAACATACCAAGCCCATCCTTGACGCTGGAAAGTGTCCATTTTTGAGCCTAGCTTCACGCAAGCCATCTTGAACAGATTAAAATTTTCAAATAAACAACTCAAGCAGACTCAAACGCCTATGCCGCCAACAAAGAACCTCAACCAAAACGGTACTAATTCCTTAGATAGCACCCAAAAATAACCCAAGGGGAAGCAGAAAAAAGAGCAGTTCGGAGTAATGGGATAAAAGCATCGCCAACTCTAGTCTTAAATTTCCAAGATCATACTCCAATTACCAGGAAACAAAAAAAAATACACTGAAAAGCAAAAAGTAAGAAAAAACAGACGATAAAATTCTAACCAGGACAGCATTTAGAGAAAGCCTATAGAAGTTGACCACCAAACCCCTTAAAAGTCACAGATAAGCTGAAAAATCAGCCATAAATACCCAAAAAACCATACAAAGTTACACATTTTTGAACAACTCAACTACAACATAGCTCCCAAGCAGAATATAGAGCAAACAGCAGCAACCACAGACCTGAACCACCCAAACAAACAGAACCGCTGACTAAGACAACAAATCCAAATCAAAATGACACCACAAACACCCTAATCCACCAAACTCTAAACAAATACCAAATCCTCTTCGGAAAAAGAACCAAATTTCGAACTCTCCGGGGGGTTCTCAACCGAACCCGAAACTCAAGAAAGAGAGAGAGATGGAGGAGAAAAGAACAAAGGAGAAGGTTATGAACAAGATGCCTTCCAAAAGCACAGACAAAACATCTATTATGTCTTTTCCTTTGGTCCTTCCGCCGAGAGCTTCAAAGCGTTGCAGGCATGCATTGGATGGGCCCATGGCAAGCAATACCCATGATACATCTGCCTGATGAGCACCTGTGCAGACTGGCACTGAACCGTCTTCTCCTTCTTCGGAGCTACAGCAGCACTTTTAAAAGAGAAAAAGACAACAGTGGATGCTCTACTCTCTTTCTCTATCGTGTTGACTCGATGACTGTTGATAGATTACTTAAATCGCGGGGAAAAATGCAGGCTGCGTAATGACCTAAATCTTATGCGCGGATTGGATGGGATTGGAGAGAGGGGCTTTTAAGATTTCAACGCTGGACTCCACGACGAAATCGCCGAAATGATTATTATTTACTTTTTAGAAATTATTTGTTCCTTTTGTCATGCCCTTTTTAATGAGTCAAGTTTAATTTGATTCATTCTTAATTTGAGTTTGAGTTTGATTAATTTTATCGAGTTTGAGCTCAAGCTCGAGCTGCTCAAGCTTGATTCTATAAATTCGAGCTGGCTTGTTCAACATAAAAGAAAAAAAATAATATTAATTTAAGGTAGTGCTATAATAAAATGATAATTAACATGAACAATTAGAAGAGAAATAACAAATAATCACTTAATTGTCTAATCTCACAGCAATTGAGCTGCCCAAAATAGTGGCATGATCTGAACCGTTTATACAATGGTCGACAGACAGCCCGATTGGAGTCAACCAACATACAATGATAAAGAATTCAATTTGCAGATCACGTCGATAGTCATGATCGCCTAAATGCTCCTTACAAGGGCGCTCAATTATAGCTAGTCGACCGACCGATTTTTGACTTCGGCAGACACGATTGTCTTCTGACTGGTCTTCTCAATCGATCAAATTAAAACACGTCAACTAGTTGGTTACCGTCGTATTCAAATTCAAATTGTAATACAGTTTGGTATAAGATCGGCACAATTAATCACATTAAGAGCGGT